TGTGATTAACAATATCTAAGTAGTTCATTTTCATTCTCTGTACAAGTACCTATATCAAGGTTTAGAAAGAAAATAAAATCTGAAACTCCCTTGTCTGGTAGTCCCACAACAACCAACTATATATGCACCCAATTAATATACTAAACAGAGAGATTTCTGATTGTAGGTGACTTTCATTATCTTTCATGCAGCATACCTCAATGGGGTCCAAAGACTTCACACATCTTAACACAACAGTGCAGCAAAAATATATAGCTTTTGGAACCTCCTAGTCCTAGCAGCTCTCCAAGCAGCTCTGCCTTGTTGCAATATGCACCAAAAAATAAAATTATATAGAACTATGTGCTATTTAAATCAGGAATGTAGCCAGCATCCTTTAAACTGGAAGTCATTAATTTGATTAACTCATAAAGCTGAGTGGATAATTTATGAGATTTATCATCCCTTAAAAAGAAGTGGACCTCCCCTTGAACCTCAATCCGACTATAACCAGGCTCCTTTATGATCCCTGAACTCCTCATCATCTCCCTTACCTCTACAACATTATCCCAGTAACCAAAAGTGGCATAAGCATTAGATAATACCACATACTTTCCAGCATTTTCTGGGTCCAATTCAAAGTATTTATTTGCAGCAAGCTTTACCAGGTCCATATCTCCATGAATCCTACAGGCTCCGAGCAATGCCCCCCATATTACTGAGTGCTCCTTACAAGGAGAGTTAAGAATAAAATCATAAGCTTCATGCAACTTCCCAGCACGACCAAATAAATCAACCAAAGCTGCATAGTGCTGCCCTAGTGGCTGGATTCCATAATCTCTTGTCATGGATAAGAAATAATGCCAACCTTCATTAACCAAGCCTCCATGACTACAAGCAGAGAGAACTGCAAGAAACGTAACATAGTTTGGTCTAAACCCTTCATATTTCATTCTTTCAAATGATTCCAAAACCTCATCAACTCTTCCATGCTGGCCATACCCAGATATTAAAGCAGTCCAAGTAACAACATTTCTATTCAATGATTTATCAAATACCTTACGCCCATCGTCAAGACTGCTACATTTGAAGTACATATCCATGAGGGCACTATTGACTACAACATTTTCTGTAAGATGATGCTTTATCATGATCCCATGGGCTCGATGCCCCTGATCTAGTGAAGCCAAAGAAGCACAGGCTTTGAATACTGATGCAAAGGTATATTGATCTGGTGTCAAACCACTCTTTCTCATCTCATAATAAATATCAAGACCAATTTCTTTGCACCCTTTTTGCACAAACCCTGAAATCATTGCATTCCAGGAAATCAAGTTTTTCTCCGATAACTTATCAAACAGAATAGAGGAAGTTCTTAGATCCCCTGATTTTGCATACAGTATCAATAATTTGATCTTAAGATATTCATTCGGTACATATCCAACAACAATCATTTGTGCATGAATTCTCCTCCCCTTCCTATACTCTTTCCTGAATATGCATTCTTGCAAGAGAAGAGCATATGTGTTTTCATTCATTATCACTCTTGTGCACCACAACAGTCCCACAGCTTCACTCAGTCTTCCCCTTAAACAAAGACCGCTTATAGTTTTATCCAATTGCAGAGAATTTTTACGGAGCTCAACCTGAAAGCTGGGAATATGTCACCGTGACTAATGTGTAATGATCCAGTGGTAACTATGGGAACACTGGGAAGATAAAAGACAAGGCCTTTAATGAA